CACACCTGCATTTAATAGCTCATGGAGCAGGGCCCTCCACCCCTCTGTTCCTGTACATCCAGTTGTCTGGTTACAATTACATGTATGTTAGTGGCTGTACAGCGCTACGGAATTTGATGGCGCTATGTAAATAATAAAATAATAATAATAGCCACAAAAGTACGCCACTGCATTCCAACGACAACAGGACATACAAATACACCCCAAAATGCACACATCTACTCTGTACAAAAACATGCTTACATTCAAACGCACACGAACTGCTCACCACAGCCAGTGCAAGGATTTTTGCCATCTTAGGCAAAAAAATATTTGCCGCCAATTCGCTCCACAGTGTTCCTGTAGGTTTAACCCCACACGATAAAACATTGCCTTATTTTGAAGGGTTAAACAAGCCTCTAGTAGCTGTCACAATGACAGCCACTAGAGGCGCCTCCGCTATAATGCTATGTTTAACTACCCAAGCAGGCACACACACTGACCCAAGCACATACAAACACACATTGATCCAGACACACACAAACACACACTGATCCAGACACACACTGATCCAAGCACACACAAACACACACTGATCCAGACACACACTGACCCAAGCACATACAAACACACACTAATCCAGACACAAAAAACACACACTGATCCAGACACACACTGATCCAAGCACACACACACTGATCCAGACACACACTGACCCAAGCACATACAAACACACACTGATCCAAACACACACTGATCCAGACACACACAAACACACACTGATCCAAGCACACACAAACACACACTGATCCAGACACACACTGATCCAAGCAGATACACACACAAACTGACCCAAGCAGACAGAAACATACAGACTGAAGCAGGCTGACACACATCCTTTAACCCCTTAAGGACCAAACTTCTGGAATAAAAGGGAATCATGACATGTCACACATGTCATGTGTCCTTAGGGGGTTAAAAACACATACACTAAACACATAAGTTATGTAAGTTCTCCCTAGTGCCCGGTGCTATAACCTGCGGCACGCAATAAAGACTTTGTCCCACATAGAGGAGCAGCCCAAGCCAACAGTAAAGCTGCTGCCATCGGCCCCCCTTAAGAAGCCCGCTAGGCGGGCGCCTAATTGGCCTATAGGACTCGCCGGCCTTGCTGCTCTCAAGTATAGCCCTGCACGGAGGGGCAAATGGTAGTGTGACGGAATGCCATCACTGAATGCCATACCCACATGTGCTCACCAGCGATGTATCTTGCACGAGGCAAACAGGGCATTTGCCTTGGGCGGCACTTTGCAGGGGGCGGCAAAAAAAGCTACCCCCAAATGCCTCGTGTCCTGGGGAGCTCACGAGCTGGCCTGCTGGCCACTTTTGTGCCCCCCGAGGCGGGCAGCAGCTACTATCGACGAGGGAGAATGCTTAATGAAGCTGGGATCCGGAATATGACGTCACTCCGGCTCCCGGCATCACTAAGCGGCGCGAGGGAGCTGAGCAGGAAGATAAGAACTCCCTCGTAGCCTTCTCTGCCTGTCCGCCCCTACCTGCCTGCGGAGCAGCCCCACTGGACCGCAGGTAAACAATCCACTCCAGGGAGGCTGGGTGGATTTAAATTAAAATTAAAAAAACAATAATTTGTGAGTGTTGGGAGAAATGTGTGTGTGTCTGTAAGTGTGTGTGCCTGTGAGTGAATGTTTGTGTGTGTCTGAGTGTGTCTGCCAGTGAATGTGTGTGTGTCTGCAAGTGAATGTGTGTGTGTATCTGTCATTCAGTGAGTGTGTGCTTCTGTCAGTAAATGTGAGTCTGTCAGTGTATGTCTGAGTAATAGTGTGTGTCTATCAGAGTGTGTCAAATCAGCGAGTGTATGTCATTGTTTGTCAGTGTATATGAGAGTGTGTATCTGACAGTGAGTGTGTGTTTGTCTGTCTGTCAGTGAAAGTGTGTGTTGGTTAAACAGTATGTGTGCCAATTACTGTATATTTTAGTGAGTGTATGTCAGTGAAGGCATCAGTTAAAAAGTGTCTATCAGTCAAAATGCATCCTTGACAGGAATGGATAGGAAAAATTTAAATATGGGGGGGGATGTGGGGAGGTCTCACACCACCAGCTGAGTAAGGCGGCCCATCGTGTGGCCCATGCTGCTATGTAATTCCAGGGGGCCTGGTCAGCGCTTTAACAGTGCGATCGGGGCCCCCTGTGATAATGTCAGAGGCTGGGAGGAAGTGATTGCCCCGGTCTCTTCCTCCCAGCAACCACTGGGAGCCATGCCGGAGGAGGGAGTCAGAGTGAGCCACCACTGGAAAGGTATGTGAGTGTGTCTGTATGTGTGTGTATGTCTACATGTGTATCTGTTTTGCATGTGGGGGGAGGGGGCAACGTATAGGAGGAGGGTGGTGGGGGGGTTGATGTGGTTTCTAGTTATGCCTCTGCCATCTGGATGTCACGGTAAGAACCGTGAGACTGGTCTACCTATAGCGGAGTATGATATGGGCGATATCGCTCTTCAGCAGAGATAGGGGAAGTAAACCTATAGTGGCATATAAACAACCAATAAAGGTAAACAAAACTGCATGGGGTGTGAGCATTTAGCAGAAGCTGGTAAGGCCTGAACAAGTGGACAAGAGTTTGTGGCCAGTCTTAAAGTCTTGCTCCGGACGAGAGTCTCAAGGCTGCAAGAGAGCCTCTGGAGAGTGTGGTTGGTTGCAGGCCCCAATTTATTAGTAATTGTTCACCATATTCAGGAGTTGAGATTGTAGGGAGCTTGTTCACGAGCACCTTTACTGGATCACATGTCTATAAAGGCCGAAAGCCAGAACGAATTCAGGAATGAATAACTTTTTTAACCTAGGGTCCCTAGCCTTGAACAAGTCTTCGGATGCTATTAACAGAGATACCAAATTAACAGGATGTCCTTCCTAAGGGCTGGTGGTACTAAATGAGCGGGAGGGATTATGTGGCATGGGGAGTTAGCTAGTAAGTTGGATGTGGGAGCATTACCTTGAGGCACACTTTAAGTGCAGGATCTGAGAGGCAAGTTATCTGTGGATGGACCTGCTAAACTGGCAGTTTCCAAAGTCTTCAGTTTATTATAAAAAGCACTAATGAATGTAGCTATTGATTCAATCATGGCATGTAATTCAGTAAGGCTGGCTTGGGTGTTTCCCTTATTGCTAGGTCCCACTGTAGGACTGTTTAGTAGAGATTTTAGAAGTGGAAATAATTCAGCTATCCTAGCTGTAGCTGAGTAAGCAACATTTCTCCTATCTAGCTCGGCTGTAATTCTTGGGATTGTCCAGAATCTGATAGAAGTAGGGCTTGCCGAGTCTTATTAGGGGTAGAGAACGTTTCTCGCTGGGTGCTAGGTAACTAAAAGATCATCCTCCTGCGTGGAAGTTAGACATACTAATGCAGGCATAGGCAACCTTCGGCACTTCAGATGTTTTGGACTACACCTCCCATGATGCTTTGCCAGCATAATGGGTGTAAAAGCATTATGGGGGGGGGGGGATGTAGTCCACAACATCTGGAGTGCTGAACGTTGACTATCCCTGCACTAAAAGATGCAAGTGAAAATGAGCCCAATGAGTGGCTGGAAATTGGAGCCAATTCCAATGTTCCACCAGAGCGGGAGTGAGAATAGGACAACTTCGATCTCACTGTGCATCCTTTAACATTTTTGAGATTTTGTGAAGCCTATTCTAGTGGGACACAAGGACACAATAAGATCAGCGTAAGCTCTCGTACAAGTTTATTTCTAATATTTTCAATGCATAAAAAAGTTAGAAAATAAACCACCTAGTCCCACCTACATGTATTTAAAGGGAGTGGGTGAAGATAATAGAATATGTACGTGGGGTATGTGAAAGGTATTTATTGCAAAGAAAGACTGTTACTGGGGATCCAGGGCTGGAGGAATCCTAATAAAACAATACACAGGTAGGTATGTAGGTAGGCACTGATTACGTAAATAAGGGCAGAGAAATCCACAAGGGTTTCCAATCTAGTCTGCACATCTACAGTCCAGGATTCCGACATTTCCTGACAAACCTAACACAAAGAGTCACCGATATGCGGCTCTTATGACCATTTACAACTTGAAACAATTCTGAACAGTTCCCCCCAAAAATGTTCTAGGACAGGGGTAGGCAACCCATGGCACTAGTGCCATGCACGGCACTCAAGGCTGCTAGAGCCAAACAGGCTCTGGCCTTTCAGAAGTCCCAGTGAAACTTCAGATATCTGCTAATACGAAAAGGTGGTGAAGGACAATCCTCAATTTATGCATTGCAGCACTTAGAGTAAGTGATCTCAGATCACTTCCTCCCAGCACTTGTAAATGAAATCCACACTGTAGTAGAGCAGCCTGCAGCTGCTGTTGCAACTCCTGCCCTTGACCTGTACCTGGCCAGCCTGGTCCTCACTGGAACCCAGGGAAGCCATCCACACTGCTAGATATACACAGAAATGCACAATAACCCTCCCCTCATACAAATAATACGAACAGCCCACAAACAAACATACAATCCGCACAAACGTAACCCACTAACAATCCACATACATGCACACAACCCCACATGCAGCCTCTCACATGTAATACCCCAAACAGCCCCCACACATACACACACACTACCAAACACACAATGTGACTTATCCATCTACACACACACACACACACACACACACACAATTCCACAAGTAGCCCCCATACACAGCCGACATTCATATGCATCATACACAATACCACAAACTACTCCTGAACATATACAATATAATAGCTCATATACGCACAAATACAACGATACAAAGAAAGCAATTATAGTATAAATAACACAAGCAGAATACGGCAGCATACACACCTCAATTTAAAAAAAAAAAAAATAGGACCGGCACGCTAAGGGACATCACAATCCTATATTGGCACAGTGCTGCTAAAAGGTTGCCTACCCCTGTTCTAGGAGAAACATTACCCAGACATGTAATGGTTAATCTGCTGAAAGGCAACTCAAAGAATACATTGGAACGAAAAGTGTTTATTGTCATTATTACAGAATAGATTAGAAAGTTCTGTACATTCGAAATAACAAGTAATATGCTACATATAGAACTATGCAGACAGCGGAAATAAAATAACACAAATACATACTGAAAGGGAATCATTGTATTAGATTAGGATATATTTTTCTAACAATATGATCTGTCCTTGAAATATAAAATAATGTAGTCTGTTATACATTTTACATGAAGTAAAGTTTAACTTTATTTGTTTTATTCTAAATTGTATTAGAAATAAGATACACAGACATAACCTTCATATACATTTATACATCAATCTGTTATACATTTAGAAAGATTTCCTAGAATTATAAAATTATATATTCCTAGAATAAAACAATATAATAAAATTGGCAAGCTGCATAGTTTGAAATAAGTAGTTTGTTAAATCCTTTTTTAAAATTTTTTAAATTATATTAAACAGATGTTCAACTCAAACTATATTCTTTTATTCGTACACATACATTTGTTCAACAATATAAAATAGGCATATTTTTAATAAAAAAATTTTTTGAAATTGTAGCCATGAAACAATTATCCCATAATTTTTTTGTTTTGTTTTACGAGTCCATCTTTATTCATCACGAAGTTCAAGGCTGACGCTGCTGTTGGTTACTCTGACTCCATACCAGCCACCCCACAACATTTCGTCCTGACCGCCATGTTGGAAAAATATATAACGCACTCCTTCTCCATAGTCGTGAAAGGTATGGGTTATCTAGAATAGATAGAAATAGTCACAGCGGACATATTTTAAAGAACACGTAAATCAAATTGCTTAATTTGGTTCATATAGAAAACTTTGATTATTTAGTAAACCAGAAATTGTGGGGAACATGGGAAATACACATTTTACAGCCAAAATAGCTGAGCTGCCAAAATTGTTTAGTTTGCAACTTTTTCAAAATTTTGTTCAAATATTCACAGTTTGCTTGTTGTGTATCCGCGACTTTAGTAAGTAAACCCCTATTATTTTTTCTTGTTTCTAAGTTCTTGTTACATGGAATGAGCTCTCCCCAAGGCATGGTTTCTAACAAATCACTGTAATATTTTACTCTTTTTATCCTTTATTTTTAAAGCACCAACGTATTCCGCAGAACTGTACATAAGAACAATGACTACAGAAAGCAAACAGTAATGACACACACTAAAGCAGAAGGCAATGGGCCCTGTCTATGATATGGCTGTTGGGGGTGATTAGTTCATGAGGGCATGATCTAAGGCCGTATTCACTGACAGGCAACATAGTTACAGGTCACGCATTAAACAGGGATTGTGGAGTAATGACGGTTTGTTAAACCAAAATAACAACAGCTTAGGGCTGTGTTGTCTCCTACATAGGTAAAGTAGAAATGAACTGACATGTCTGGATCAAGACCCATCTTTAGCTCTTAAAGGAACACATTCTTGAAATTATAGTGGTAAAATAACTATTTAGGTCTCTGCCCCCCTCTCTTTACATTAAAAAGGTGATTTTACTCACCTTTTTTCCAGTGCCACGGTTGGCCCGCCTCCTTTACTGAGATTATCAATTTTGATGCTCTCAGCCAATCTAGTACTTTCCCATAGGAAAGCATTGGGAGGCTATTGCACATGCGCAGCAAAACAGCACTGCGCCACTCAGCATCTCCTCATAGAGATGCATTGAATGAATGCACAAAGAGTACAGCACTGACACAGAAAGCACCTCTTGTGGCCATCTCAGTGACTGCCACTGGAGGTGTCCCTAGGCAGTAATGTAAACACTGCCTTTTCTTTGATAAGGCAATGTTTACAACAAAAAGCCTGCAGGGACAGCTATAGACACCAGAACCACTTCAGCTCAATGAAGTGGTCATTGGCGTGTGCAGCCTACTGCAAAAGAGTGTGCACCCTAAAGCACAAACACACGACGCGTAAAAAAATAAAAATAAAAATAAATAAATAAAATATATATATATATATATATATATATATATATATATATATATATATATATATATATATTTTTTTTTTGTGTTAGGTGCTTAAGATAGTACAGTGTGAAATACCATGAATAAGCGTAGGATGATAAAAGGAGCAAGTCGGTTGTGGTGTGCCGAAACCGACGATGAGGTATGCCTGAGAAAGAAGAGGGCCCACCCAGGAAAAGAAATAGAAAGGAAATAAATGTTAAAAGTGGTGTGGTGGGAGGGTCATTCAACGCTGACCTCGAACGGTAAGGAGCCAGGCAAGGGGAGTGCCTTAAGTAGGCTAGGGGTAGCAAACCAGCACCTCCCACAAATGCAGGCAAATTGCCTTAATACTTGTGTTAGGTGCTTAAGATAGTACAGTGTGAAATACCATGAATAAGCGTAGGATGATAAAAGGAGCAAGTCGGTTGTGGTGTGCCGAAACCGACGATGAGGTAGGCCTGAGAAAGAAGAGGGCAAAAATTAAGTAATCAAATTTATTAACAGACAACCAATACATATACATTTATCAACCAGACATGTTTATGAAAGCATCTCTTAATTCTTGTACTGGGTTCGGTATGTACCGTGAGTAAGCGGATGACTTCCAGCGCCCCAGTGTTTTGATAACATGAGTTGGGACGTTGAAACTGGAGGCTGTGGACGCGGCTCCTATACGAAAGGAGTGTCCTGAGTAATTGTTTGCGTTGAGGCCCAGTTGTGTGAGCAAGGACCTGGCGTAGGTCATGAAGGTTGTAGTGGTGAGTACTGCACCTTGTAGTTGTAATAACGGTTGCGAGGGCAGTAAGTGATGGTGCTGTATGTAGGCATCAAGAACCTTGACGGGACACCATCTGTTGTGCGTGGGATAGTACGGAATGTTTACAGGTATGTGCTGGCTGGTTTTGGAGTGAGGTAAAGACAGGATGTAATGATCCATATGTTTTGTCAAGTGGGAATAGAGGAGGAATGGAGTGGTTTGGGTCGTGGAGGTCGTAGTGAATTCTCTGGGTCGTAGAAATCCATAGAAAGCGATGTATATTGCTGTTTTGATGATAGAATTCGTATTAGTGTCAAACTGTTTTAGGTCGAGTAGGTTAGATAATGCTTTGAAGATATGGTTATCTATGGGTAGCCTCTGGGCCAAATGTGTGGGTTCTGATTTTTGAATACCTCTGAGTATGGTCTTAATTTGGTGAGAGGCCATGAAACTGTTGTTATTTGGGTGTAAGATGAGCATGTGGTGTTTAATGCCAGTGAGATAGAGTTTGATGGTGTTGTATGACATTTTGAGTTTAAGGTGGCAAAAGGAAGCAAACCCCAAAAAAGATGTCATAACAAACGGTTGTATGATGTTATGTTCCAGAAGGAATCGTTTGAATAGTGTGAAAGCCCTGCTGTATGTTTTGGTTGTATTGTGTGAAAGTGCCAACTGAGACAATGTCCTGCTATGCTGCATGATGACGTCTAGTCCAGTATGAGTTGTTGAAATGTTGGAGTGATGGTGGCTGTGGGTGCTGCTGACGGGAGTGCTTGATGAAACTCCTGAAATTTAAAGCGAGACAAACTGTCAGCAGCTGTGTTATATACACCTGGCACATGGAAACAACATAGGAAGAAATTATGACAAGCTGCCAACCAAGTGAGTTTCCTCAGAAATCTCATAATCGTAAGAGATTTGGAACGACCTTTGTTGATGATGTGACAGGTTGCCTGGTTGTCTGAGTAACAACGCACTGGCGTATTAGCCCATAAATGACCCCACGCTACGGCAGCCGCCACTATGGGGTAGATCTCAAAAAGAGCTGAGGTAGTGGAAAAACCTTCCAAATCCAGAACTGCTGAAGGCCAGCTGCCCCAAAGCCATTCGTTCCCAAAAATTGCTGCAAAACCAGTGGTAGATGCCGCATCTGACCAAATGGTAGGAGATGATTCAGTCAATTGAGGGAGGAACATACTTTTACCATTCCAAGTGGTTAAAAACCTCTTCCACATGTTTAGATCTGCCGTAGCTTGGGCATCTAAGGACAACCTGTGCGTGTCATGTAGAAAAAGTGGGAAAAGATGCAATAGTCGTGAAATAAAGGAGCGGCCTTGAGGTATGATGCGCATTGCAAAATTTAGTGACCCCAGCAGGGACTGTAGTTCTTTGTGGTTGCAAGTGCTGAGATGTAGGTAGTTGTTTATGTAAGTGAGAATATTTTCTATCTTATCGTATGGTAGGCTTGCTTGCATTGTGGCAGAGTCTAATTGGATACCCAGAAAAGTGATAATGTTTTCTTTGGGGAGATGGGTACACCTAGTTGCTCAAACAGCTTAGTGGTAGCTTTGAGGCTAGTGGGAGGTGCAGTATTCTCCTCGACCAGTAGGAAATCGTCCAAGTAATGTAATACTGTAGGGCATCCGGCTATGTTCAATAGTAACCAGCATAATGCTTCGGCAAATGTGTCGAAAATAGCTGGGCTACTTTTGGACCCAAAAGTTAACCGGGAGAAAAAAATAGTAGTTCCCGGACCACTTGATGCCATGCAGGTGCCACAGTGTGGGGTGGATAGGGAGTAATTTGAAGGCGTTTGTAATGTCGGTCTTACTGAGCCAGGCTCCCACCCCTGCTTGTATGATGGCTGTAATGGCGTGATCTATGGTGGTGTATTGCAGAGAGAATTCCTCAGAGGGTATGAGGGAATTAAGACTGGGGTTGGCCGATGAGTGGGGAGCCGATAAGTCAATGATGAGTCTCTGTTTTTGGGAAGATTTCCCTGTGACAATACCAATAGGGTTGGTGCGCCATTCTGTGAATGGAGGAGTTCTAAAAGGCCCCAATACAAAGCCCTCATCCACTTCTTGGTTTATGAGGGTGTCAACCACTGTGGGGTTGTGTTGGGCGGATTGTAGGTTTGGGCATTCCAGAGTGCCAGCTGGTATGTGTAGGATACCTGTGTGGAAGCCTTCTGTTAAACCAGAAATAAGAAAATCTACCAGGTGTCTAGATGGGTGCTGAGACATCAATGCTGTGAATACTGGCATATTAATGGACGTAAGGTAAGGCTTGGAATACATTTTATTTGGACACATGGTCTTAGCATGTGCCCTAAAACATTTTGAACAGACATGCAATAGTCTACATCCACTGTAATTACAAGACCCAACATTGAAATTATTACATATCTGGGACTTGCCCAGAAACTTGATTGGGCGTCCCAATTTGTCTTTGGATAGTTTCCCTGGATCCCCAGAGGAACTAGTTCCTTGTGTGGAGGCATGTCCGTCTGCCGTGTTGGGACAAAAATTAGTAGTATGGGCTGTGGAGGAGCAGTATGCACAAGCTGGTGTTCTTAGACCTGCAAAGTGTCTGCAAAATAAGACGGTATCAATCCTTCCCCAGTTGGATCGTGTACCGTACTGGGAGAAGGCTCCAGCCACTTTTGCAGAAAAAGACCTATGGTAGTCATAGAATGCTGAACCACCATATTTGTTGCCCAGGTCTACCAGCTTGTGCATATAGAGATCAAACTCCTCTCTTCTGTTGGGATAAACCGCACAGACGACATCCCTGTAAATACCAAACGCTAGTACAAATTCAGGGATAGTCAGTTTCCTGTTCAGGCGGGCATCCCTAGATCTGACAATAACAGAAACATCATCATAAGCATACGTCTTATGTTCCACAATGTCCTGGGAGGCAATCAACAGGGAAGCCAGGTTGACGTCTTTACCTTCCAGGATATCCCTTTTGATATGCTCAGGTATCATGTGGGCCGGGCTAACTTCCTGGTCATCCAGGGGGCTGGCTGGAGCGACTAATGGCAAGGCTGGTGTTTGTACCGCAGCCGCGGGTGGCCCTGCTAGAGTGAGGGCCGTGGTGACCGACTCAAGTTTCTCCAGCCTGGAGTTGACCTTGCCCATGGATGCCATGAGTGAGGATAACATGGCATGTATGTCCCCTGGGTTGGACTGGCTAGATCCTTCCCCGGCTTCCATGTTATTAGTTGATGTGCGTATTAATAACCCAGAAGTGAGGCTTGTAACATAGACTGAGTCCATTTGTATAAATGGATAAGTAATGCAGACCCCTGAAAGCGTGGGAGTCACATGGTATACACAGAGAAGTGGACTTGATTTGTGGACATAATACAATACTGACAATATTTAAAAGTAATCAAAAATAATCTATTTAAGCAAGCAAATCTTTAACTGAACGTTATATACACATGAAATGGTGAATATAATTCATGAAAGGATTATACGTGAACACACAGAAAAGCTGAAAGCAAATGTGAGGGGAACACAGAAGTTAGAATAGTTTAACCGTATGATTTATGCGAACCAAAGGCGTGTATGAGCGTATGTAAAATTTGCCGAACGGCAAAACAACCGAATGAAAATTCGTTTCAATAACATGAAATAGGATATGCGAAATGACTATTGAACGCTTTAAATATGTTCAGCCGAATGACCGTACGAATGAAAAGCCCGCGAATGGCTTGAAACATTCGTTTCATAACCAGGGAAAAGCCGTAAAGCGAGGACCCGTGCTGTACCGTACGCCGTGGGAACCAGTCCTGGCGTGACAGGAAGGTCTGACTTACGGTTTAGGAGTCCCTGGGACGCGATCTACGACGGAGAACGGAGTCAGAAGAAGCTGGACGGGCGGAAAGGCCTGAACAGGATTCCTGGACACAGCTTAACGTGGTGAAACCTCCTGGATACTGAAACCAAGATGGCGTCTGAGAGAACCCGGAAGTGGATCCTCATTCAACGCTGACCTCGAACGGTAAGGAGCCAGGCAAGGGGAGTGCCTTAAGTAGGCTAGGGGTAGCAAACCAGCACCTCCCACAAATGCAGGCAAATTGCCTTAATACATATCAAAAAGGAAAGAGATGCACTCTCAGGTCTTTGTTGAAAAAAACTCGATATTATTTAATAACAGGTAACATACATCTGATCGACGTTTCGACCTCTTCAGGTCTTCCTCAAGATCAATATACAAACATATACAACACAAATATATAGGCAACAAAGGAGGAGTTACTCACCAAACAAACAGTGCACACCGGTTTCCATTAGTCCGAACCCGGAAGTGTAAGTGAAGCGTCATGTGACGTGTGTCATGTGACGTATGGGCGTGGCCATTACCATGATGTGGTTGCTAGGAAACGGGTAAACTAAACCCGAGCAAATATGTAGTGAACATGAAACAGCTCGGATTAGGCAGAGAATTATCTGTGCAATAGAGTGAAAGGGCATAAAGCCCTGTGAAATATACAGAACTATAATACCTACCAAATAGCATGATCTAAATGCAATACAGTGATCACCACTAATAGTGAGGACTCAAAGGTCCATTTCTACGAAAAAAGACTATATTAATATTGGTCCAGTATCTGACATACACCAATTAAAGTGACCATCTGTATGTGAAAGTAGTGTAAACATGCACCCGGTAAAAACAATACAAAAAAAAAAAAAAATGTATACTGCATAACACATACAATTAAATCAAGCATAACATGGACACAAAGTATACAGAGTATTAAAATGAGAATACTATATGAGGACTTTAATTAGAAAATCCTACAAAATAGATGAAGATTAGGACAAAAGCTTATAGCATCTGAGGTTACTAGTTAGTCTCCCATACAAGTACTAGCCAGGCCTGAGTCTGAATAGTTTCTGAGATCTGGCGAGATCAAGCATTTCCAGACTACGATGGCCATGGGTTCTAGGCAAGAGAGTATGGACACTGGGTATTCAATGATAATCTATAGATAGTGGACTAAAACCACATTCAAGACAGAACAGAAAAAAAAAAAAAGGAACAAGAAAAAAGGACTACTCCATATACTCTGTATATCATGTAAATACACGAAAATAAATACTTCAAATAAAAACTGCAGACTCTATAGAAGCAAGGGGGAACGTTCCAGAACGGTTTTGAGTGAATCCACAGTATACACAGGACCTCCCATTGAATTCTTACTGGAATTCCTACATATTGCTTTGACCTGTAATTATTTTAAATTTGAAAAACAATTTTTTCTACAACTCTCGGGGACAGTGATGGGAGCGGCGATGGCGCCCTCTTACGCCAACGCTTTTATGTACACATTTGAAAATAAATACATCTTCCAGAAATTTTGAGACTCCATACAACATTACCATCGCTTTGTGGACGACATATTTTTAGTATGGACAGGTACTATGGAGTCATTGAAGAACATGCTTACTGAGATCAACCTTGCTCCTACCTCTGTGAAATTGAGTATGCAATACGACACACAGTCCATCCAGTTTTTGGATGTCACTATCTACAAATATCGTGGAAAATTGGAGTTCATGCTATACCGTAAAGAGACGGACCGCAATACACTATTGATGGCATCCAGCTTCCATACCAGACAATTTAAGGCTTCATTACCCATATCTCAATTCCTCAGAGTTCTCAGATACAACACTACTTCTGAAAATCGTGACATTCAGTTTCAACAAATGTGGAATAGATTCAGGGCAAGGGGATATCAGGTTCAGACTCTCCAGAAAGCCCAAACTCGTGCCATTGAAATATGGGAATCTGAAAATAATGAAGTAACCAAAACTAATGCAACACCAACATCTAGGATGTTTCTCCCGCTCACATTCCATACGGGCATTTCTACGGTGAAACATTCTGTTAACAAGAACTGGGGACTACTACAATCAGATAAACTTCCAAAAATATTTCGAGAACGACAGATTTTCAGCTATAAGAGGAACAGAAGTCTTAAAGATATTTTGGTCAGGAATGACCCACTTCATTGCTACCAGCCTATATCAAATATCACCAAGAAAGGATGCTACAAGTGTAGTGGGTGTGTGACGTGCAGCCACATGGTTAGTGGCAAGTCATTCGCACATCCTCACAGTTGCGAAAGAATTAACATCCGACATCATATAACATGTACCACAGACTACGTAATATACCTTATTACCTGTCCGTGCGGACTATCGTATGTGGGCAAAACTAACCTCACCCTGAGAGATAGGATACGTGGACATCGGTCAACTATCACCACCACTGCCTATCGGGATAACTACAGCGACAAACCAGTAGCCAAACATTTTTTGGCTTTAACACACAGACTACCATCATTACGCTTCACAGCGATTGATCATATCCCACCTCCTCCGAGGGGTGGTGATAGATCAAGAATGTTACTTCAACGGGAAGCAAAATGGACATATCAACTGGACACAGTAACACCCAGAGGATTAAATGAGAATATTGTTTATGCAGTTTTTCTCTGATACTATACAGCTCTCTCATCCCGGTAGTCTAGGATCATCGTCCTGAGCCTCTTTTCCTGTACAGCTTTGTACCATAGGGTATCTGTATATTGTGTACAATATGTCTTGCCTATGTTTTCTTTGTTTTTGGTGATATTTCTCTAGACTCCATTTACCTCTAGGGACTTGGTTATAGTGATCAATTAGGTCCTCCGACACTGGCATATACCATTTTGGCAGTGTAGTTTTGTAATTCTATTTTATTTCTTGTATACATTTTTCTGTATAGTGTGTGTATATATATAATTTTTTTTTTGTATGCAATTTTTGTAAATTTTTCCCTCACATGGTCAGTGACTGATATTGCAATAGATTTTCAGTATTACCTCATATGGCTGTATTCCAATCACTTTTAGTGATTATTTAGCCTAGCTGGCATTTCTACACCCCTTTTCTTGCTACTATAGAGTCTGCAGTTTTTATTTGAAGTATTTATTTTCGTGTATTTACATGATATACAGAGTATATAGATTAGTCCTTTTTTCCTTGTTACTTTTTTTTTTTTCTGCTCTGACTTGAATGTGGTTTTAGTCCACTATCTATAGATTATCATTGACTACCCAGTGTCCATACTCTCTTGCCTAGAACCCATGGCCATCGTAGTCTGGAAATGCTTGATCTCGCCAGATCTCAGAAGCTATTCAGACTCAGGCCTGGCTAGTACTTGTATGGGAGACCAACTAGTAACCTCAGATGCTATAAGCTTTTGTCTTAATCTTCATCTATTTTGTAGGATTCTCTAATTAAAGTCCTCATATAGTATTCTCATTTTAATACTCTGTATATTTTGTGTCCATGTTATGCTTGATTTAATTGTATGTGTTATGCAGTATACATTTGTTTTTTTGTATTGTTTTTACCGGGTGCATGTTTACACTACTTTCACATACAGATGGTCACTTTAATTGGTGTATGTCAGATACTGGACCAATATTAATATAGTCTTTTTTTGTAGAAATTGACCTTTGAGTCCTCACTATTAGTGGGGATCACTGTATTGCGTTTAGATCATGCTATTTGGTAGGTATTATCAGTGGCGTACTAAGGGGGGGAGGGGGGGGCGGTCCGCCCCGGGTGCCAGCAGGATGGGGGGTGCCATGACCGGCCCCGCCGCCCC